TGGCTTAGGCATGTCACCTAGTCGTGCACTTGTAAAAGGTCGTTCTCGTCAAATCTTTCTTCTTACTGATGGAGAAATTTCTGACGTCTCTACAGTGCTTGATTTATGTCGATCGATGGCTTCATCTACTCGCATTTTCTCATTTGGCTTAGGCATGTCACCTAGTCGTGCACTTGTTAAAGGTCTTGCTCGAGCGACGAATGGTCGATTTGTTTTCATTCCACCAAATAGTAGAGTTGATACATACGTCAAGGAACAATTGCGAAGAGCTTTACAACCAAGTATTACCAATATTGAAGTGAAATGGAATTTTGGTGACATTGATGTACATACTGCACCTACACAATTGCCTACTGTCTATGCTAATGATCGTTTGATTATTTATGGTCTCATGGATAATATCAGTGCTTTATCATCAGATATTCATCCTTCTGTAGAACTCTATACGAAAGAAGATCATCATCGATTAGGTGAGGCAAGAATTGAACGAATAACCAGTACAGATAACACAGGATCGATTGTCCGTCTTGCCGCTAAAGCCCTTATTCTCGAGCTACAGCATACTAAGAAGGTATCAACAGGCTCGTTACAATCATGTTTTCAAGACGAAACAGACTTAACAGAGAGGACGACAGAAATAGAAGAAACAATGAAGAAACGCATTATTGAACTCTCCTTAAACTACAGCATTTTGACGCCATATGCAGCATTTGTGGGTATTGAGAAGCGAGTAAACGGAAGTAATAATGACATGACTCTTCGTGAAGTACCAATTCAAATATCAGCCGATGATCATCATTTGATATCGTCGCCGTCTTTACGCTACTTTAACAATGGACAACGTCAGACACTTTCATATTTGACTATTCTTGCTTGTTCCTTTCTTTATCTTGCTTTCTTTTTCACAGCATAATAGAGTTTATTACTGTACCACTTATCGATAATCCCGCTTTTCCACTCTACCACTTTCTTCTCTATTTTTGAAAAATCATCTTTTTACTTTTTTTGGAAAAAAATTAGATGTTAAAGGCAAATAGTCGATAACGTTGACTTATTTAGGTGAATCAATAAGCTTTTAACCAATAAAGTCAATAACAAGGTTAAAAACTGACTTTGAGTACGCATTTAGAGAACCAAATAGACATTATTTAGTTCCAATTCGAAGCATTTTTTAGTAAATTAGTTTGGCTTGGTATTTGATCGGATTAGCTAAAATCAACATTTATTTAAGTTGAAATTTAGAAATGCTAAAATAAATTGCGATAGGTTTATATTTCGCCAGAAAAGGAAGTTTCTCAAGTGCGTGTGGGTGGGTGGGGTGTGGATGTAGGTATCACAGAAGAGCTACATCTACCCACACCCACACCCTCTTATAGATATGATTCAATAAACATGCATTTATGTGTGGTAAAAGAATCAGTTCCTTTGGTCAATGTATGACCGAGATATTAAAAATTGTGCGCTAAAAGAACTTTTGGGTTACTCTCTAGTGAGGTCCACCGGTGGATTCCATCGCCTCGAATGTGTTAAGTTGAAAAACTTCGGACATATGTAGCTTAATGGTGTTTCACATCGTGATTTGCACATGAACTGCACCAATTGGAAAATGAAGTTAAGATCGGTAGTATCAAATCATTCTGTGATGACAACTGCATTGAATAATACAGAACTCTTACAGATGAAAAAAGTTGCTGTTATTCTTATTGAAATCTACAATTATAAATACAATTGTTTCGAAATAGTATTTAACAATGTTGGTGTTTTACTTTCAGGAATATCTGAACACCGTGCCACATATATGTAACTAACCATTTATATTCAGTAATCATCGACTAACGGTAACAAGTAAAAGAACTCCTACTCATGATTATTGAATCAAGGTGTTATTTACGCAAATCAGAACTATCTCACGAGTAAATCATGAAAATGATAAGATTTCATCATTATATGGAAAATAGTTTATTTCTATCCATCTCGATCTTCAAATTAGATATGTTAAACTTCGTTAAAAAACCTTCGCCGAATCGAATAAGGTCTCTTTATCAAATAAGTCAATAAGATCTTAATGTAATCTTTATTTTAACAATTATGGCAATCGTTCATCTGAACTGAAAATAAGTATCATCGTGAGCTACATAATGATTTCATTGAAAAAAATACAAGTCGATGAATTAATTTATGCTCTCTTCCCTCCTATCCTAATTCTAATATAATAATATGTTCCACTAATGTAAAGACTTAAACATCAATCATATTTCTTATTATAATTGGTATTTTGCTAAGAAAAACAATATAAATGTAAATTCAAGACAATCTTAAGTAATTTTCTAAAAGATTTTCTCTATAGAGATAATCGTGTTAGTTCAACATTGAAAATGAAAACAATTGTAAGTTGAATTTGTTTTTTTCATATAACACTCAAATGGAATGGATGCTGTTTTTTCAGAATATTAATAGATTATCTCCATTATCCGTTCAGACATTCTCCCAAAATAACAGTGCGAATCAATCAAATGTGAACATAAATTGATGATTTAAAAACAAACTACTACTAATAATAATAAGAAATATGATTGATGTTTAAGTCTTTACATTAGTGTAACATATTATTATATTATAATTAGGATAGGAGGGAAGAGAGAATAA